CCCCCCCCAGACAAACAAAAAAACAGGGGGGAGCAGAGAAAACAAAGGAGGAGAGAGGAAAGAAGGATGCATGTGATGTTTCTGTTGTTGGCTTTGACAATGGGGGTGTCCCAGTGCAGAATGAAGGTCACTGCCACTAAAAGGAGGGTTGCAGAAAAGAAAAGAACCAAGGAAGTCAGACTGACTCCCAAGGGTTTGCCGAAGGACAAATAGCTGAAACTTTTGGGAAGACACTGGTCTTTTTCCATATTTGAATAGTGATCTTCTGGGCATCTCACACACTGGTCTGCATCTAAAATAAAGGAATAACACCTTGTTATTGCAAAAGCTAACTTAGAGTTATCACTCCTGATGACTCCTTTCATATATCCCACTACACTCCCAGAATAAAACTTTCTTAATGTTTAGCAAAAGGTTTTATATTATGGAAAAGTCTTCAGTTGAATGTCCATAATATTAGCAGGCTATTTTCCACTTTCTTTTTCCTGAAAGGAATGAGAATATCTCAACACAGTAAACAAGATCTTTATATTCAGACTGTATTTATTTATACTTTTTTGTTTTGTTTTGTTTCTTTTCTTTTTCTTAAAAGCTACCACAGGTTAACCTCAGTCTCATTCCAGAGTAGATTTAAATGAAGCTCCTCTACTATATAGTATATCAAACTGGAAAAAAATAAAGAAAGATAAGATTGAAGGCCCTGGAAGCTCTTACTGTAGAAGTCAATTTTTTCACTTGCCAATTTGGACTGAAATTCTTCCTTCAGGGCATTTGCTGCATTTGTAGCAACAAGGTGGTCTCCCCTCCTGAATCACTTTGCTGTACCCTTGGTGGCAACTCTCAACACATCTGGCACGGGGAGGTACCTAGAAATAAGAATCAGAAAGGTTGGCAAACCTCATGAAATGCTCCACTTTATTTGCATACAGGCATATTAAAAAGGGAGTGTTTTTACTAAAGTCAAGATATGTGCAAAATGTTTGGAGGTCACGTGTCCCAAGAACACACACACATATATATATAGACTATCAGTTTCTGAAATTGGCGGCAACATCCTGTATTTTGTGACACATGCTGTTTTCCTCAAAGTATGCCCATCATCATTTGTTGTCATTCAGTTTTAAGAGGAGAGAGTAAATAATGCGGTAGATTGTAATGAATGGTATCTTCAGGCTACAGAAAAATGCATCAAATGATTTTTAAAGCATAAAACAATATAAAGCTTCAAACCTACAAGAAAACAATGGGTCTTCCAGTCTCCTTTAGCCTGCTTTCTAGGGCAGAAATGAAGGAGGAAGATATTTATTTCATTTAATTTGATAAAGAGAAATCCAAATATCCAACAAAACCATTATGTCCTAGGACAGCATCACTATACATCACTTCTGAATTTTCAGGTCATCAAACAAGAATATCTTTTCCCCAGAAAATTATAACCTACATAATTAAGGTACTACCTGCTGAAATTTGTGATTCCACACAATAGCACTTTCACTGAAAGTGAACTTTTTCCCATTGGGGGTTTGGAGTCCATCCTACCAATCTGGATGTAGCATGTTGAGAAATTTTAAGAAACCAGTACACCCACATATCCTTGATATGTATAAAGTATGTATAAAAACATATCCAGACTTTATATAAAAGTTCCAAGATGCAACTCAGGATAGTAAACCAAATTCTCTTGGTATATATTTCCATGAAGACAAACACAAACACCCAATAAAAGTGCTAGATTCCAGGACATTGTCACTATGCTCCACTTCTGGATGTTGAAATCATGAAAAAGAATACTATAAATTATATAATTATAATTTTATAGCTGAACTAAGTAAAGGACCCTCCAATGTCCCACCTGCTGAAATTTGTGATTCCACACAATGGCACTTTCATTGATGATGAATTTCTTCCCATCTGGGCCTTTGGAGACCATCCTTCCAATCTGAACTCTCTGGAAGGATTTGTTGTGGAAAGTGACCATGTTGAAGATGTCATATCCAGGGTCAAAGTTCCCTTTCTCATCAAAAAAGATTTCATCTCCCACACTGTTATTAAAACGGGTGTTTCTCAGAAAGTAGTAAAGCTGGATTCAGGAGAGGACAAAAGGAATTTTTTAAGAAGTTAGATTAGATTAGCAGGATCGGGGGGAAATATTCTTGTTCCTGGAGAAAAAGTAGCAAAGAATATTATGATTGAAAAATATCCTGTGATAGATCATTCCATCTTCCTTCCCTCAACCCCTTAGCTGTTCCATCATTGGGTAGCAGACTGTGTCTCTCTGATCTCATTATCCATTCAAGGTCCTGCAACTTGGGCAACCAATTGTGTTCTCATTGCACAAGTGAAGCACCATTAAAGACAGAGTTCCTCATCTCTCTTCTCCTAAATGTTCCTTCCAGGTATCAGATCAGTGTTTCAAGGAAGATAGAGAAGTCAAAGCCACTTGCTCCATGTAAACAAAACAACTTTTCAGATTATCCTAATCTTCCCCAGAATGATGGCTTTGTTTAGAATCACAGCAGAGTTTTTGTAGTTATAACAGAAGTCCGTTCTGCTTTGATTCAGACATCTCATGAACTCAGATAGCACAGAGCAATTCCAATGTCACTACAATCAAAGGCAACATTTTCCTTACCCTTCCCTGGATTTTTTTTTAAAAAGAAGTAAACAATCTCACTAGGAGATACAGTTCTGATATTCTCAGTGGAAAACTAAATAAGAGATATCCAACTGTTGCAAAAACCCAAAACCCAAAACCCCAAACCAGAAGAATTATCACACAAAAGGTGGAAGGGGGCAATCACTCCATTCCATACAAGGGGACAAAGAAAAAACAAGAAGAACAGGGGGCTTTGAGAATTGCTCTGTTTATATCTCTTGCTTCTGAATCACAAAATTGCAGAACTTCATTTGAATCTAGGTTCCTAATTTCCTGTATGGTAATTTTTTGCTGACTATACTATAATGGAGATATCATGGTGATTTTAGAGGAACATTCTCTTCTAACCTGAACCCAAGCTGCTTTGCAAATCCTTATCTAATCAAACACTGGTGGCATTTCCTGATGGCCTCTCATCAACATTTGTGTATTAATGGATAAGAACTGGCATTATTCTTATCCCCACCTCATCTCTTTCAGGCCTTACACAGCTGTATATCAGAGGAGCGATGACATACCTGCCATGGCTGAACATCCCCAAGATTTGCTCCATGCCAGTTCCTCCGAGAAGCTGGATTTG